TTTATTTTTTATTCCACTTACCATTTTTTGGGTTGTATGGAAGGAAAGGAATGCTAGACCTTTTGAGGAAATAGAAACAACTTTGTAAACATAAAGAATAGATGGTTTCATACTTTTGCATCCACTTTATTGGGTCATGACATATTAGATTTGGATGACTTGGGGTGCGTCATTGACCGCTTACTTGATATGTAACTACTATGTAACTGGGTGGTACTCCCTTAGTACTTTTTGTGAATAATAACACTTTCATCTTTTATTTTAAAAAAAACCTGATGGTTTATTACCCATAGTAGAAGGACTTGAATCTATAAAACTTAATCCGTACCTCACTATTTGTTGTGTTCTTCATGTATCCAAATTGTGTACAAATCTTACATCGGTAACCAAATTCATGGCCTTCTCATTCTCTTGAATTTCAGGATCAAAATTTGGGAAGAATGTTGGATATGCTAAGACTTGGGATGGGTTATACTTCTTGGATGTACTTGATGTACCTAACATTATTCTATTTACCACCAAATTAGATAAGTTATGGTTGTACCACAAGAGATTAGGACACCCTTCTTTCTCCACCCGTAGGGTCATGTTCCTTTTTGTTTTTTAATTGCAATAGTGAAAATCTATACTGCAGTGTATATGAACTAACAAAACAACATTGTGTAACTTTTACTGTTAGTAATAAAATAAATGATTTTCCCTTTCAATTGATTTATACTGATTTTTGGAGTCTCTCTAATATACCTAACATATTGGGTTACCTTGCTTTTTCTATTGAAATTTAAAAATGAACTTAGTCATATTATTACCCAGTTTCATACCATGATTAATATCTAATTTAGGGCCACAATTAAATGTTTTAGAAATAACAATGTCCGAGACTACTTTGACAAGACCGTAAGCGGCTTCTTTCAAATAAAAAAGAAATTTTTCATGAGTTTTCCTATATCTATACTTCACAAAAATGGAGTCGCATAACTAAAAAATAGTCATTTGCTTATCACTACATTTGCCTTGTTTCGAAACCATATACCTAAACATTACTGGGGAAAAGTCGTGTTTAGTCAGTTACTATCTAGAATACTAGACTTCCGAAGTACAATAGAAGTTCTAGTTACTTTCTTTTTAGAAGTACACGCGCCATCAATAAGTTTATACCTCGTGTTTATGGGTGTATTGCTTATGTTCATATACATTTGTTTTAAAGAGGAAAAATCAACCTTAGCGCAATAAGGTATGTTTTTGTGGGATACTCCATACAAGAAGGATACAAATGTTAGCACCCAACCAAAAAGAAACTTTATGTGTCCTTTGATGTGACCTTTATTAAGACCTTGTCAATCTTTGACCAACTTTATCTTTAGGGGGAAACTATACTAGAAGATAAGGGAGATTTGGGAGACTCATTTTTTTGGCATTCCTTCCCTACCATTAGACACTTTGCCTTTATTATCGGAGTCCATCACCTCACCAGAAAGTTAAGATCCACAAATGAATGCAAAACTTCACAAGATAAGCTTGACCCTCAACCTATATAAAACTCATATTTTGTCCAAGTGTATTCAAGAAGGAAAACTCAAATTCTATTCCAAAACAGATTCAAAAATCGGAGTGAGCGGTGGAAGTGAGGTAAACTCTGAGAATTACTGTCTTTCTTATACCAATTTAGCTAATACACTTAGAAAATGGACTAGACAATGCACTAAGGATCCACTCCATTCAATTTCTAATTTTATATCAGTTAAAATTGTTCCCTAGCTCACAAAAAATTTCTTGAGCCTGAACACAATATTCATTCCAAAAAATTTATTTGAAGCTTTAACTAGTGAGGAATAGAAAAATGTTAATAATGTAGAAATACAGATACTTGAGAAAAATCAAACTTGGGAGGTGGTGGATCTACGTAAACAGAAAAGAGTTAGAGAATGCAGATACCTGTTCGCTATCAAATGTAAGTATGATGAAACTATTGAGAAATTCAAGGCAAGATTGGTAGTTAAAGGATATACTCAGACATATGGAATCGATTATCAATAGACTTTTGCACTTGCACAAATGAATACGGTATGTGCCCTACTATCTTTAGTTACTAACTTTCATCTATAGTTGCAACAGTTAGATGTAAAGAATGTTTTTCAATATGGGGAATTGAAGAGTAAATTTATATAGAAATTTTTCCAGTAGGAGAGAAAAATAAAGTATGTAAGCTCAAAAAGGTACTCTATGGACTGAAACAATCTCATTGGGATATATGCCAAAGTAATGCTATTCATGGGTTACAAACATAGTCAGTAAGATTATACCCTGTTCATTAAGCACTCGGAGGTAGGGAAAATTACAGCCTTACTGATGTACGTAGATGTTATAATTGTTACAAGAAATAAAAAGAGAAGAAGAAGATCCTCAAGCACTACCTAGCTAAGGAACTTGAGATTAAAAATTTGAGAAATTAAAATATTTCCGCACGATAGAAGTGGCCTACTCCAAGTCTGGAATATTTATATTTTAGAAAGGATACATTCTAGATTTCTTGAAGGAAATTGGAAAACTGGCATGTAAATATGTCAATAAGGCGATAGACCCCAATCACAATTTAGGATTGGATGAGGAAGACCCCAAGATAAAGAAGGAAATGTGTCATAGGCTAGTGGGGAAGTTAATGTACTTGTCACATACAAGGCCAAACATTGCCTATAGAGTAACTGTAGTGAGTTAGTTTCTGCACACGCCCAGAGAAGTGCATTTGCAAGTTGGTTATAGGATACTCCACTACTTCAAGAAAAAGAATTATGTTCTGGAGAAACAATGAGTTGCTTTTTAAAGCATATACAAATGCTGACAATACAGGTTCATTAATTGATGGAAGATCTACATTTGGATTCTGCACCTTTCTTAAAGGAAACCCATTGACTTGAAGCCGCAAGAATTAGGGTGAAGTATCCTAATCCGATATCGAGTCAGAGTTCGGGGTTATAACCTAAGGGATGTGTGAGCTCTTCTGGTTGAAGATAATTTTGGAAGACCTGAAGATTCTATGGATGGACCTATGAGACTTTATTGTGATAATAAGTTAACAATTAGCATTGCTCACAACTCTATATAATATGACAGGATGAAATATATTGAAATTGATCAACACTTTTTCAAGAAAGCGAATAGCAGATTGATATACACAACATACATGCTCGCTATTTTGCAACTTTGCGAATGTATTGATTAAGGGATTGAGTAATCCTAGATTTCAGACTATCATTGAGAATGGATCATATTTATTCGCTAGTTTGAGGGGGAGTGTATTTGTATAGAAAGTAGGATAAATGATATATTAGTAATATACTCTTTGTAATATTTGTAATCTTTGCAATTGATTGGGTATGATTGCTAGGGACTTGTATATACAGCTACCTAATACTCTAAGAAATACAATAATTCATTTTTCTACAGATATTTCATATGTGGTCATTGGTTCCTTCCAAAAGAATGTAATAATTTTTGCCGTTTGAGAGAATTAAATTAAGTAGATATAATTGAGATTCTTCTTGGACATATATAAATAGTTAGACAAGGGCTTATAGACACATTATAACCTAGCACTTGCTGTCAATGGAAAAACTGGTAATAGTGGTCTTCTTAACTTAAAGATATTAAATGATTCCTTCAAAGTGCTGTTATTTGTTGTGCTTTTGAGTTTATGGTGCCTTGATCCTTGGTGAAGCATGACAAACCTCAGCTCATCTTATCATCTTTCTTCCCCAGGTCTGGTCTTGCAGGCTACTTACTTGGCCTTGAAAAAAGTAAGAAACATGTGGAAGACATATTTTTTACTCTGTTCTCTACGTTACTCGATGCTCTCTTATTGCGTGCACAGGTTATTTCTTGGCCATTGCAACTTTTTATTTGTTGAAATTAGGTGCTTTTTCCTTATTTTATCTCAAAGTTGAAAACTGTGAATCCTTTTCCTATTTTTTTGCTCCAAAGTTATTCATACTTGAAATAGAACACAAATAAATTGTAAATTCCTGTGAACTTCTTGGTAATTCATTTCTTATATGTATCTCTAAAATTTGGGGTTTAAGTTTCTGGGTTCATCTAGCTAGTTGTATACTGTGCTTGACAGGCATGCACAGGCAGTTAGAACCTACCTTTAGCATCTTTATGACTTTCAGGCCTGGATCATCAGCATACTTGCCTAAAGACTTGACTTTGGTGCAGCTACTTAATAATCTCAATTATCTCACTGTTATGTTATGGTGTATCATTTTTTTTTTAATCTCATTGAATTTCAATATTACGTGATAGTGCCTGATCCAACAGTAGTATTAATATCATGTGTTTGTAGTACTTTAAATTAACCGACAGAAATATCACCAGCATCTGCCTCTGCCTCAATGCTCAAGTTCCAAACTGTTTAATGGATTTACAGTCAGCAGATTTCTTCAAGAAATCGTTAAAGGAAAACCTAGTTAGTCTGGTTGTGTCTCCCTCAACATACACATAAAGAAAAGCCAATAACAACATAGTCAACCGCTTCTTTTTCCCTTCAATTGCTTGTATATTTGGTTATATTTTCTTTTCATTTTCATAAAGCTTTGCATGTGTGATAAATCGGTTTACAATTAGATGTTCATATGTTATTTTACAATTTTCATTTGATATGAACAATATGTTTGATGAGCAGTCATAATGGATGAGCTAAAGTTCCAATTTTTGGGATTTTTGGAGATAATCAGAAGATATTGTTGCTTTGATCTGCTTTTAGGTTTCATGTTTGTATCTTAAAAGTAATGTTCTTACCCATGACTTATATTTCCTAAAGTGGGGTGTTTTTAATTTTAAGTTCTCTGTATTTAATTTTGAGAGGTAAGGATTTAGACATACTGAACCTTTTCTTCATCAGGTGGATGACTCTACTTTAAGTGATGAAAGTGCGGCACTTGACCTGCCCGATGGTCTTGTGCATTTTAGGATGAATCTTGTTGAAGTTTTGGTAGATATTTGTCAGCTTTTACGGCCTGCTACATTTATTCAGAAGGTGCTTCTTTTGGAGTTCAATTTTTTTACTTTTTCTCAATCTTTCTCTTAATTGGGAAGGCTAAACGAATTGTTTAAGCCGAATTTTTTTATGCATTATACTCTCTCTTCCATAGGATGACACTCTCTTCAATTAGTTTCTTCTATTCTGGTTTTGCTTTTGGTTTCAACAATAACCTTGATTTTGTCAGGATCATTTGACACATACAAAAAAGTTATGGTTATATTTATTTCAGAGTCAAGAGTATTCGTAAAGGCATAACTATTATGGTTCGAGAAGTAAACAAGAAGCTATCTGTGATGTTATTGTTTTATTACAATATGTAATTCATCATTGACTGCAAGAATTAAATCTTTAATCTGTAATTCAATTCTGGTGCAAGAAATAATTCCAAACTACAGTTAAACATTTGACTGCCTCTTTTTGTGAAAAGGAAAAAAAATCATATGCTTTATAAACCATGTACTACTTCGAAAGCTTTTTTTTTCTGTAAAGAAAAAATTTGAAAGCACATTTTTGTCCTTGAAGGTTTATTTGCTAGTTAAAACTCGTTTATAGGAGTGAATTGTTCTCCTATTCTGTGCATATCTTTTAATATCATATGCCAAAATCATTTCAGGTTTGCTTTGGTGGTTGGGCTTATCCATATGCATCAACACCTTGGAAGGAGGTGGAAACAAAGTTGTTTGCTCTTAATGTAGTAAGTAATGTTCTAGGATTTTGGACATCGATTTTCTATTGTAGGTACTTCCACTCGATTCTGTTTCATAGTTTTCAATTTTTAGGTCCATCATTGGACTATATCTATGTTGTTTATGCTGTTTTTTTTTTCTCTTTCCAATTCATAAGTTTGCACAAGAAAGAATTTTCCTGTTTCTATATTTTAATTGTATCAAGTTTTGACTACATAAACTATGTAAACAATTTAAGAATCACTGCTATCCTAAACTGGCAGAGATCTAATGCCATTCGAGCCTTTTGGTGGGTTCTTGGCCTCACAGTCTGTTACCAAGTTTATTTGTGACTGTGGGTTGACTGTTGGCCATTGACTGCAATGCTTCGCAAAAAACTCTTTTGCTAGGCAGCAGTTATGGTTCCCAAGAATAGGAGTAACCCTTCCGCAAACTCCTGGACTTTGAAGATATTGGATTTTTTAGCTTTTTGTGTGTGGAACAAAGGAGAGGCACAATTTGTTTTCTAGTTAAGTGCTGCAATTTATGTTTCACTCTTTTCTATGTTTGATTTTTTAGCTTTTTGTGTATCATTATGCCCTTAGACAGTTCTAGAATGGATAGTACAGGTTAGTTCTATGTTTGAACTGCAGTTGTGTTTGAATTTATAATTTATTGAGTACTTAAAACTAGGAGATATTGGATTTTCTCCTAATGAGCCCAAGGATTCAATCAAGATAGGTCATAGAATGAAGGAAATAGCAAAAACTTTTTGGTTCTTCTCTCTCTGATTTTAAATTTCAAGGACCTATAACTTTCCAAAGGCTATGATAAATTTATTTGGCAATAAGAATTGGTAAATAAAATCAAGATCGCCTTCAAAAATTTCATAACGGGCAGAATTCTAGTTTTGGTTCCAATGATTATGGTGAAGTAATCTTGCCTTCTAGGTGATTTTGACATAATAATTTCCTAATTGCTTGAGCTAATATGTGTTATCTAATCTGTTATTGATATTAGAATATGTTGTTTGTAGCTTTTTTATTTTCAAGCTTTGAGAATGCGTGATGCATTTCAGGTTTCTGAAGTAGTCCTTCAAGATGCGCAAACCTTGGATTTCTCAATGATTATGCAGTTGGTCACAATGTTGTCAACTAGACCTTCCAATGAGCTTAAGGGATTGATGTGTGTTGTATGTTTGTCGTGCTCCTTTGTGGATTTATTTTGATTCATTTTCTTGTACATTTATGCCGCGTGTTTAGATCTCTTTTATCTATTTATTATATATCTTTTAGAAAGTATTTTTATTATTTTGATCTGGTTTTTTCTTTCCCATACGTGGAAATATTTTAATTTTAGGTACACAGATCACTTGCAGATGTTATTGGTTCCTATTCCAAGTTGATTTCTGCTTTTCAAAGTAATGCTAGGTCGATACTGTAAGGACACTTCTCTTCTATGAATTTCCGCAGACAAAATATAAACGTTTATCAAATACTTTGCTTTAGAGATGAATTTTGGAGAAATTACCTGCCAATGTATGTGATGCATACATAACTTTGGTGGTTTCTTGAAGTTTATTCTTTTTGTTCAGAATGGTTTAATATGTGCTTTGTTGGATATTACAGTTTTTTATATATACAAGTTTTCTAGAATAGAAAAGGTGATAGATCCCTGATCCTGGCTTCCCTATCTTCTTCTTAGTCAGATGCCTTTTCTGCTTTTCTCAGAGTAGCTATTCTGGTGCTTCTGTAAAGGCATAGCATAAGGAAGCTCATGCTCCCTTCTTTTTATCGCTTTCTATAGAGCTGACATGAGGAGGCCTATGTTGCCTAAATTGATTCTTTTCTGCCGATAAGTCCAATTACATAATGGAAATTACAAAAAATGATCTTATTCAACAAAGGTGACATCCACAAACATTTAAAATTTTTGTTGACGTAACACTTATACCCCTTTTGAGAAAATAAGTATCCCACAAACACACAGTTCAAGACTCTAGGATCAAGTTTTCCTTATTGATGTGAATGAATGTGAACATAGGCGGCACACCCAAATATTTGCTGGACCAGATGGTTTGTTACACTTATTTATGGTAGAATTTGGAAATGGTTTCTAGAGGACTTTTGAATTTTAGGGCACTCAAAGATAACCAGTTAATAATATATGTGGCGATAAGGACGACTTTTCCCCAATGTTGTGCTGGGACGTGGTTATGAAAGTGACTATTATTACATTCTGCCATTTTTTTTTTGTAGAGTGTAGACGTATGATGATTCATGAATAATATATTCTTGTTGAAAAAAGTAAGAGATTGTGTGGTTAAAAAAAGTCTCACGTGTTATTAGTGAGAAATTGTTTTATGTGGGTTCCAAATCAGGTTTTTATCATTTTTCAAAATTGGGGTATTATGTGGCTAACATCTAATATGAACTTGAGTAATGAAAATTATGTAACCCTATTACAATCATCAATAACACAAAACATCAAGGCCTAGAAATATTGAGAATGTGAGATAGTGCTCAAACACCATTATGGATTAAAAAAAAGTGAAAGTATACTTCTTTTATTGCTAAGTGGAAATTGTACATGCTTATGTTTACTAACTCGAATACACTGCAATATGAATTCCCATTACCAGAATTTTTAAATGACAGAGTAAACATAATCTTTAAAATATAAGAGGATGGATGATCAAGTTTCTTGTGCTAGAGCCAAAATTTGTTGTTAGGATCATAAAAATAGTGGAGAAAGATCCACTAGGTCTATCCAAGTTGTATAATCCGTTTGTGCCTCAGCATGTCCAATAATCTTTCTTGAGTTGTGATCTTGAAAGTCATAGTGAGAAGAAAAAAACGTTACCTTGCAGTTCAAATCTTATGATAATTTTGGTGACTAACACAAGATTTGTACATAGTATAGGAACATGTAACACATTGTTTGAAAAAAGGTAGGACTCAGTTTGATTTTGCCTACTAGCAATAGTATTTAGAGAACCATGATAATTTTCCTACTACTAGGGGTTTGACACATAACAACAAAAATATTTAGAAGTATTAGTCATATGATTGGTAACTCTTGAGTCTACTATTCATGAATTCTCAAACGGTCTATCCAAGACACTGAAACCATGTGAGAAAGAAAGCATACTTGAGTATTTCATCAGATTTGTACCTGTGAGTTTCTCAAGATCTTTTAATCTGCTTTACAATTGTTCTATCTCAGCCTTGAATTCTTTGAGACCAATAGTTTTGTCCTCCTCCTGGTGGGCCACCTGGGCCTGTTTGTGGAATTTTTGTGGAGTGTTCTTATAAACTTGGTCCTTGCTTGAGGTATTGGGTTTGCCATGGAGTTTCAGACGTTTATTTTTGGCATGTCTGAGTTTCTTGCAAAAGGTACATTAAAGATTATCTCTATTGCGGCACAAACCTGAAATTTTCTGCTTGGCTTAGTTCCTTTATATGTTGGCATGGTTTGAACTCTTGGAGATTAACGCTTAACTATCAGTGGGCCAGGATTCTAATATGATCCTTCTTCTGCTCTCTTCTGCTGATACAAAGGCAATTGCCTCATTTAGTAATGATATTTGGTCTTTGCTAAGATTTGAACCCTTATTGAGTCCTGCCAGAAATTGATAGGCTCAGTCTTTATCCACAAATTATTTGAGGTGAGCTGCATTTTTGCTGCAGTCCATCGTAAGGCTCTGGTATTGAATTTCCCTAAAAAATGATTTGGAAGACCAGTGCACCTCCTAGAATTTCCTTCTTCGCTTGGAAAGCCACGAAAGAACATCTCCTGACTATTGACAATCTCATGAGAAGAGGGTTAATATTGACCAACAGATGCTTCCTGTGCAAGAATGATGCAGAGGCCACCAATCACTTATTGCTATGGTGCCCTATCACATACAATCTTTGGACATTGGTCTACGGGCTTCTGGGTATTTGCTGGGCCATGACTGGGTCTGTCAGGAAAGAATTACTGGCCTGGGGAGAATTGTGTAAGAAAAATAAACATTACAGACTTATCCCTCTTACCTTATTCTGGGTCATCTGGAAATAAAGAAACAATAGGGTTTTTGGAGGGAAAGAAGATAATTTTGTCAATATCAAGGATAGATGGTTTCACTATTTTGGTTCTATTGTTTTAGGAGATAACCTTGATAACTTGACTGATCTTGGTTTTATTGTAGATATGCTTATTAACTTGTAAATCTTGTGTACATGGATGGTGTCCCTTTGGCACCAACACATCAATGCAACTCTATAAGTTTATTTTTTTGTTAAAAAACTCTGGTATTGATCAAATTCCTTCCGTCAACCTTTCGACATGTCAAAATATTCAGTGACTGACATGTTCTCTTATTAGAAACATAATTGTTTTATTTATCTCTTGTGACATAGAGGTCTCCTGATTTTGGTTCAAGACCTAAGAGCTGGTTGAGCATTCCTTTTCTCTTGAGAGTGATTCAAATTAATTGCGACTAACTCAAGTAATCTTTCCTAATGAAGCGATAAGCACTCTGGATTAGCTGAAATTCGCTATTGTTTTAGTGGGTTTCCCTTATGGGAATTTGTTTCTGTATTTTGGGATGTAATCTCCGATATATTTCAATGT